CAGGAATGATTATCCACCGAGGGTGCTCTTGTTATAATGTTGACAAGGGCTTCATTATTTTAGATGTGAACCCTATATTTTAAACTGACAGTTTATTAGAAAAATCTCTCTTTTTAATGTTACCAGGTAGAAAAAAATTCAATGCTTTAAATCATTCTCAATTGCTTTTCTTTATCTTCCTGAGATAATTATCAGAGCCATAGTTTAACCAGGAATGGGCCTTAAAAATAAAAAAAAGAAACAGTGCAACTGAAGAAAACACATCTGACAGTACTTTCAAAATGAATCAGTGCCAGGAAGTATGTTAAAAAGTTGAACAAATTATCATTTCAATTTACTGCCAATTTGCTTCAGTGCAAACTTCAAAACTGTTACTCTAACAGCATTTCAATAAAGAATTTAAAAATTCACTCTATTTATAATTTTAAAATGGAAGAGCTACTTTCAAGCGGCTAAATGGATTTCCCAGATCAGGCAGGGGAAAGGGATCAGAGTGCCACTTGAGAAGGGTGCAGGACTAGTGTGTGGCATACCTGTCAAAAAAGTTGGCTCCCATTGTTTTACCCAGTCCTATACAAAAAGAAAAGTCATTAGGGGTACTATTCTCACTTGTAGCAACCAGACCAGTTTATAAGTGTTTGTGTAACTACAGCTGTGTAACTACCATTGCACTACAGCCCTGGTCCTAGAACTGATGTGGCAGCATAACTAGGGCAGGGCAACTGAAGGAACCACCCAAAGTGCTGAGTTGGAAAAAATTGGCTGTCACCAGCAGCCATGTGATTACAATTGTGACTGTCCCAACAGCATGCTGACAACTGGAAATGGCTGTTGTCCCAGTGCCCCGGGCACTCTGCTGCATTGCTACACTGCTGCATGGTAGGACTGGAAACCAGAGGCTGCTCCTGCTTACTCTGTTGAATCCTCCCATTTAAGGGGACTCTGATTTCATTCACCCTTCTACTCTCCAAGACACTCAGTTAATAATGGCTAGCATAACCAGGTCTAGCTGGCCACAGAAATACTATGTTGATGAACATGATATAAATAACTAAACAGGATAAAATACCTATAGAACAATAAAATAAAACTTATCCTGCCTGATTATCCTGCCTGACAGGTTAGTGGGTGCAGGGAGCGGGTTGTCCTTTCAGGGGTGGGATGATCAGGGGGCTAAAAATAGCCTGACCAGGGTGGGGTGGGGGTGACGCAGGAAGAGTGCAGCCTCAGAGCTGGAGTGAGCAGCTGGGATTTCCCAGCCCCGGGGCTGCGCTCTGAATCTGTAGAGATTTGAAAGACTGGACTAACCCATTCCTGATCTAAATTAGTTCCTCTCCTGAGCTGAGCTCATTTAGATTGGGCTCACCATTTTTTGCCCAATTTAACCTCCCCCAAACATCTGTATAGACTGGCATTTAAATTGGCCTATCCCTAGTTAGGTCAACCTAAAAGTAATGCCTACATGTACCCACAGGTTTTTGAAGCCAATGACTTCTGAGAGCAGTTGATAGTTAATTCAACCTTATTCTACCTCACAAAAACTATAATCATCATCTTCATACCCATGACAGTTTAAGTAACAAGGTGATGGAGAGAAACCTATCCTTTCAGCCTTGTAAGAATTCCCTCCCAAATAAGGAAGTTGAGTCATATTGGTAGGAGCCATGTGGTTACTATTACTGAAGCTTAAAATTTGTTTCTAGGGCTATTAATCTTTTTCCACAACTAAATTTACCTATTTTGTAATTATAAAAATGAGAATAAGAATTAACTTAGAGAAGACTTTCTATTCCCTAAAGCCATAAGCGAAAAGCAGGTAGCAGTCCATTCTTTAACAATCACAGTACGAAAAAGTTCTTTATAACAGCATATAAATGTTAAGCATTACCATCCTTGCTACACATAAACCAGTTTCATGTATTTCATCTCTGAACTCAGCTATGTGGTAGTTAACTGTCTAATGATGGCCTGATTCTAAAGATGAAATAAGAAGAAAATAATATATTACACATGATTTAGAAGGTACTTTGTGCCTGACTCATACACACACAGTGAGCCAAACTCTGCTCTCACACTCATGCAAACTCCATTGCACAGGTAGAAACAAGAGCAGGTTTGACTCTGATATCATCCTCAGAAACAGTGTATTCTGATAGGGCAAGCCTCACAGTGACACTACATTGCAGCTATTTAGAAGATATTTTGGAGGTACTTGGATAACAGCTGTATTTACAGGGATGTTGGTTATACCCATGTTGGCCTAAGGACATAGGCAGACAAGGTTCTTTGGGTAAATGCAATATCTTTTATTTACAGAAACGTAAGAAGGGCTTGGGCTTTCTGTGCTGTGCTTGTGCTGTTTTACACTGTACCTTAATAATAGAAAAATGCATGTTGCTAACACCTGTTGTCTGTGATTTTGTGGCCATTGGGTTGCTGTGATGTCAGTTAGCACCCTAATTCCTGTAGCTGATCAAATGTCTTTTAGGAATCAAAATGCAATTATAAATTATAAGATGATTACAATGAAGCTGTTAAGCCAAAACTGATATCTTTATTCCATCACATTTGCAATCTCTAGATGATCATCATTTCAAATGCCCATTTAGTTCTCTTATTTACATAGATTTCTACAGCTTCTCCAGTTTGACCTCAAACTCTAAACATGTAATATGATGGAGAGGATCTGCATTTTTTATTTAGTAGAATCATTCTGGATGTTCTACTAGACCTTACCTCCAGTCATCTTTGGTTAAATTTGCCAAGATATTCATCTCCTCCTCTTGCATAAGTCTGTAAGCAGCACTTACATGATGATTTTCCAGAACAGAACGATCGTTGTACAAAATTGCAACGTCTGACCTAGGTATAAAAAAGGGCATGATTAGCAACAGGATATTGACACAATAAAGAGAAAAACTCTGTTGTCATTAAAAGGGTCTGATGCTTTTATTTGCCAGTAAGTCTATTTCTTCCTGTTAGATCAGATTCTGACCAGAAATTTTGAGAGAGACTTTCTCATAACACAAATAATATTTATCATGCTTATTATATTACTTAGTGTACAGGAGAAGGACACCGTTCTGTTTTCTATTTACAATGAGAAGAAAATTATGATTAATTTGTGAGATAAAATTTTAGGAAAACCCTGAAAAAAAGCAAAACCTAAAAGAAATAAACAGGTTGGTGTGGAATTAAACAAAAAAACAAAATTGTAATGAACAACAGCTGAAGTACTGTTTTAAATTGCTGTGTGATAATTTCACCACTCCATACAGATATTAATATATTAATGTGATGGTTACACACCCCTCGATACATTGAGTAGTATTAAAAAAATCAGTTTAACTATTCACATACATAATATGGTATTAGAGAAACTACAAAATTAAAACAGGATTGGAAAATTTATTTATAAGGGGACAAAGCAGATTGTACCTAAATATTAAAAGTGTTTATGTCCAGTCTGTCACTGACATCATGGGAAAATACATGATTTGCCAATCACATATTTTTATGAAGCACACTTTTGACCTACTTAGCTAATCATAACTGTTTTTAATCAGGACTGAGAATTGACGTAACTATGAAAGCCATTTTGTCTGGTTTTCTGAAGCAAGAGGGTCATGGAGGAAAAGCAGAGACGTCATTTTTAGGGACAGTTTGATTATGAAGAAAGAGTGGGCAATATCATAAAACAAATACTTATGGGTAACTATTTAACTGTAAAACTCAAAGTTTAGTGGCTTAAGTCATGTTCTAACTTTTCAAGACTTCAAACCAAAATATTAAGGACAAAAATAGAAAAGAAGTTTTTACTTGGAACTATGAACTGAAGTGATGCAACAAATTATTTTTAGCTTGGCCATGTGAATGCACCAGTATGTTGACAAAGAAACGGCTTATGTTGGTACTTTAGTAGCAGACGTGGAATTTGTTCATCATCAGATTTATCAAACTACACATCCCAAAGCAAAAAAGATTTCAACTGATTACCAGTAATCTGTGTGCAGCCCTTAAGCAGTTCAGTAGTTCAAATAAACAGGAGAATGCTTTTGTTTGGTTTTTAGAGTGAATTTCTTGCATGAATGTTTTAATATAGTGATTTAAATAAGTGATTTAGATTTTCATTAGAATTTTGTTCTTTTGCTGAAAATTTTTATTAACAGAAAACAATTCAGGTCCAAACCTCAATTGAGGGCAATAAGCACCCCCAGCGTATATGTCTATACCTCCCTCCAAATGATTACAGGACATAAAACTTTGTTCATTGGCTCTTGCTCTGCACATGCCAAAGACACAGGATCCCAATTACAGCCATGCCAAGTGCACACAGCATGCCTTTCAAGAGCATGCCTATAGGAGAGATCCTGAAAGCATCCCTGGGAACACTCTAAAAGTTGACTACATACATTTTTGTGCAAGCAGCATATGCAGAGTGGGCAAAGGTTTGTTTGTTGTTATCAGCAGCAATCTCAGCATAACAACAGAGAAAGGATAGACATAGCCAAAGTTCACCTAAGGCTGGGGTGAAAAGGAACTGACAGCCACTTTACTCTAGGCTGAACCCTGGAACTGTAACCCAGCTCTGCTAAGAGTGACTTCCAAAAGGGTCCTTCAAGAAGGCCAGTACTCTTCATTTGAAACACTCAAGATAACTTAATGGAATAGGTCCATATTATCTCCATTTTTCAGAGTGACAA